GGGGGGGGGGGTCACATGGCCAGTCCTCTCCCCCCCCGCAGTGTTCTTCCTAACCAGTTGCCCTGATCAGCTACCCAAACGTGAAGGCTCTTTAAACTAGACTCAATCCTTCCAGTGGAAAGCAATGAATGCATTTGGCCGGAGGCATTACAAAAATGAAGGCAGCGAGCAGGTTTTATTGCATGGCTTTGCTGTTCCGCACTCATTCAGAAGGTCCCACGTAAAACTCACACAAGACAAACACTCTTCCTAACCAGTTGCCCTGATCAGCTACCCAAACGTGAAGGCTCTTTAAACTAGACTCAATCCTTCCAGTGGAAAGCAATGAATGCATTTGGCCGGAGGCATTACAAAAATGAAGGCAGCGAGCAGGTTTTATTGCATGGCTTTGCTGTTCCGCACTCATTCAGAAGGTCCCACGTAAAACTCACACAAGACAAACACGAAAAGGAAACAAGTTCAAACAAGGCAAAGGCTTGCTGGTATTTCGTTACTTTCCTACTCTGTATTTACTGGGATTTCCGTATCACCTGCTGCCTGAATCATTCGCAAGCCCCAGCGTCGCTGGCCAAGGTCCAGACAAAATGGTTACAGGCTGGCTGGGTGCTGCATTTCAATGCCAGGATTTTAGCATACGTCGCAGTTGTGCAAAGCGTAAACAGTTCAGATTAATGCCAGCTACACGTTGGGGCCTGTAAATGTCCACCCCCATTCAAAACAGGCTTTAGACCAACCTTAATCTTGACAGCCTCCTGTAGCGGTCGGTCCATGAGAATGTTGAAGGAGAAAAACAACTTTCGGATTGCGTTGTTAAACTCATCCCCGTCTTCACCCTGCCCATAAAACCTAATTGAAAAAGAACAGGAATGTCACACATGCACACCAGGGATGGAATAGCGGAGTCGATTAACCGATTAGCAGAAGCTTATTGGTTAATTCTATAGACTACATGCATCCCCCCTGCCCTTTTTTTAGACCGGCTCGGCTCAGTCCTGGCTCATGCCGGGTCTAGGGCCTACATTTTAAATGCAGAGCCGCAGAGGGGGTATTAGGAGCTAGGCGGGAAGGTAGCCCAGCTCAATTCTAGCTCACGCTGAATCCTGGAGCTCAGACCCCCCCCAAACCCAGTTGGTTAATTCTATAGACTACATGCATCCCCCCTGCCCTTTTTTTAGACCGGCTCGGCTCAGTCCTGGCTCATGCCGGGTCTAGGGCCTACATTTTAAATGCAGAGCCGCAGAGGGGGTATTAGGAGCTAGGCGGGAAGGTAGCCCAGCTCAATTCTAGCTCACGCTGAATCCTGGAGCTCAGACCCCCCCCAAACCCAGACAAGAGCTGCTGCTGGGAGGGGGACAGAGGGCCCTGCCTGCCAACCCCACCCCCAGGGACTATAAACTAGTCAAGTAACCAATAAAAATACATGAGGTTAATCGACTATTCAATTAACTGATATGTAACATCCCTAAGGCACACCAATTCAAGCCACAGCAAAGAGGAATACAGCCTCAACGTCTTAAATACATTTTATCCACCAGAGCTACCTCTTAACGTGCTCTTTTACTAAGGAAAATAAGGTTCAACCTGTATCAATGATTTCAAAATTAAATCTGTTAAATTTAACAGCCAAAAGATTTGTTTTTCTAGCCACAAAAGACAAACTCAGCCTAGAATCGGAGTTAAGCTGGGTCCTTTCTGGCTTCAAGAATCACCAACTCTGATGTTTATGCAGAGTTTGTAAATCCTATTGATGATGCTCAAACCAGAGGGGAATCCAGCTCATTTTATGTTCGCTTTGCAAGACAAACTGGAGAAAACAGATTGAATGGTGACAGAGAATCACATGTAGATCGATTTGAGGCAATGAAAGACACATTGCAACTTGGCAGATACTGTCTGAGTGACGGGAATTTCCTGCATAACCTTATTAACTTAAGTATTTTTGAAGTCCATTACACTAAATGCAAAGTTTATGGATTATCGTGGACAACGATTATATACAACCTTTCTGGGGGGAGATGTGGTGTGAGGCTGTGGACTATATTGAAAAGATACCAGACAAAAAGTGGACTTTTGGGACAATACGTTTTAAGTGGATTTCCTAAGCAATACTGAGGGAGAGTTTAATGCACTTGCTCACTTCTGGTTAGGCAACCCCCCTGCCTCCAGAATCTACATCGTTTGTCTGCCGATTACCTGTTCCCAGACACGGGAAAGACCTAAGCTATATAAAGGAACTACTGACCTGTCTAACTGGAGCCAGATCTGAGACAGTTATGAACTTATAGAATCGTAGAACACTAGAACTGGAAGGGACCTCGAGAGGTCATCGAATCCAGTCCCTTGCCCTCATGGCAGGACCCAGTACTGTCTAGACCATCCCTGATAGACATCTATCTAACCTGCTATTAAATATCTCTAGATATGGAGATCCCACAACCTCCCTAGGCAATTTGTTCCAATACTTAACCATCCTGACAGTGACAAACTTTTTCCTAATGTCCAACCTAAACCTCCCTTGCTGCAGTTTAAGCCCATTGCTTCTTGTTCTATCCTCAGAGGCCAAGGAGAACAAATTTTCTCCTTCCTCCTCATGACACCCATTTTGATACCTGAAAACTGCTATCATGTCCCCTCTCAGTCTTCTCCTTTCTAAACTAAACAAGCCCAGTTCTTTCAGCCTTCCTTCATAGCTCATGTTCTCTAGACCTTTAATCATTCTTATTGCTCTTCTCTGGACCTTCTCCAATTTCTCCACATCCTTCTTGAAATGTGGTGCCCAGAATTGAGGCCTAACCAGCACAGAGATAGAACAGAAGAATGACTATAACCACAGGGAAAATGGATTTGTGAGTATTTGGAGGATTGACACCTACCAGGCCTGAGGCTGGAGTTGGGGTGATCTCTCTGTTTCTGATCAATGTTTCTACTTTAGGAATAAAGGTGTTTGTGAAGAAAGAGTTGTGTGGTGACATGTACCTGTGGGCCATTACTCTGCTCAGAGGCAGCAAAGTGCAGACTTTGTTCTTATGTTCTCATGGCCCTTTTAGGCAGTCTGGCTTGTGAGGGATGTGACAGTACAAGCAGGAATGATGCAGCCTGAAAACACCCATCAGTAGGGAGACACACAAAGGAGATGTCTGGCAGCCAGAAACTGTTGAGTCAGCAGTGAACCAGCGTTGCCTAGAACTGTGACATACACTATTAATGACAATGAAGGAGCTGATTTAATCATGGGTATTTTTAGTACCAGTCATGGATGGGTCATGGGCAATACACAGAAATTCACGGGCCATGACTTGTCCGTGATTTATAGGATTAATACCACGGACTAATTCTTAAAGGGAGGGGGGCTTCAAGAGGGGCCGCTGCTGGGGAGAGGAGAGGCTGCTAGCGGCTATGACTGCACTAGGTGTCTGGGAACCACCAGTGGGATCATCCCTGGGGGCCAGCTGCACCAGCTATCCCCAGAGCTAGCTGTCCAGGGCTGCCCAAGCAGCTGGCCATCAGCAGCTGCAGGGCCACCGGAGTGGCTGGCTGCAAAGGCCTTCCCGCTGGATGGTGTGGCTGTCCCCAGGGTGGCCTAAACAGCTGGCCCTGGAACCAGCAACTTGGGTGACCCTGGGGTCAGCTACATTGGCCCCTGCAGAAGTCACAGAGGTTGCTGAAAGTCATGGAGGTCACTCCACGGCTTACATGACCCCGTGACGAACATGGGGCTGGAATTACTGCTAGTGTTAGCTTCAGGGCTAGGAGCTCTAGAGATGGAGCAGGATCCCTCTGTGCTAGGCACTGTACAAAGTGACCTCAAGCTGTTGACTGTGCGTTTTAATGTCTGCTGCAAGGTCCTCAATGGCAGCCAAATCAGGCATCCTCCAAAATTAGCCAACATTTCCTTTGACAGGTTTAATAGAGAAGGGGATTCCTTTATCACTACTAAAGATTATTTAGAATTCTCCCTTCGGTTTGTTAAGATCCGTCTGGGCCATCCTGGAACCTGGCAGAAATACCCGAAAAGTCCCTTAAAATGAGGAAGCTCTTAAACAAGGAAAGCATTTTTAAAAATAAATCATCATGTTTAGGCTCCTTGTTTGCATTGGTGTTTGCAGCTTATGTAAGATCAGAGTGGATTAGAAAGAATTTCACCCCCAAGGAAAGAGTTCTAAGTTGTTTACCCTTGTACTGATCGATATCTCTTTGCACCCACACAGACCTCTGTACAGTCACGGATAAGAGACAGATGTCGAGGTCTTTTCTCCATAATTAGGGGCTGTCTGGCTGGGGGATACAACAGAACAGTTCTCAGCTCAGAACATCTGCTGGGGTACATCAGAAGCTGGCTCCTTTGACAGGAACGAGGCCAGTTTGTATCAGCTGCGGATTGTTTGCACGTTTCCAGGATACATTACTTGGTAGCCTCAGAGTTTGGCCACCAATTTTTACTGGGGACGGATCTCACACTTTTTCCTGAAATGCTGAATTAACTTTTGAAAAAACAAGCCCATATGTACATACGCACGACCAAGTCATTGTAATGTATTTATTGCGACCTTGTAAAGCTGTGGTGAAAAGTGACATTGACCCACACACAAATACATTTCCACGATAGACCAACTCAGCCCTGGCAAGCCCGGGAAACAATCAAGCCCCAGTTGAGGTGGGTGGGTGGGTAGATGGCCGGGGGAGGCAGCAGGAACCAATCAAGCCTCAGATGAGGTGGGTGGGGGGGTAGATGGCCGGGGGAGGCAGCAGGAACCAATCAAGCCTCAGATGAGGTGGGTGGGGGGGTAGATGGCCGGGGGAGGCAGCAGGAACCAATCAAGCCTCAGATGAGGTGGGTGGGGGGGTAGATGGCCGGGGGAGGCAGCAGGAACCAATCAAGCCTCAGATGAGGTGGGTGGGGGGGTAGATGGCCGGGGGAGGCAGCAGGAACCAATCAAGCCTCAGATGAGGTGGGTGGGGGGGTAGATGGCCGGGGGAGGCAGCAGGAACCAATCAAGCCTCAGATGAGGTGGGTGGGGGGGTAGATGGCCGGGGGAGGCAGCAGGAACCAATCAAGCCTCAGATGAGGTGGGTGGGGGGGTAGATGGCCGGGGGAGGCAGCAGGAACCAATCAAGCCTCAGATGAGGTGGGTGGGGGGGTAGATGGCCGGGGGAGGCAGCAGGAACCAATCAAGCCTCAGATGAGGTGGGTGGGGGGGTAGATGGCCGGGGGAGGCAGCAGGAACCAATCAAGCCTCAGATGAGGTGGGTGGGGGGGTAGATGGCCGGGGGAGGCAGCAGGAACCAATCAAGCCTCAGATGAGGTGGGTGGGGGGGTAGATGGCCGGGGGAGGCAGCAGGAACCAATCAAGCCTCAGATGAGGTGGGTGGGGGGGTAGATGGCCGGGGGAGGCAGCAGGAACCAATCAAGCCTCAGATGAGGTGGGTGGGGGGGTAGATGGCCGGGGGAGGCAGCAGGAACCAATCAAGCCTCAGATGAGGTGGGTGGGGGGGTAGATGGCCGGGGGAGGCAGCAGGAACCAATCAAGCCTCAGATGAGGTGGGTGGGGGGGTAGATGGCCGGGGGAGGCAGCAGGAACCAATCAAGCCTCAGATGAGGTGGGTGGGGGGGTAGATGGCCGGGGGAGGCAGCAGGAACCAATCAAGCCTCAGATGAGGTGGGTGGGTGGGTAGATGGCCGGGGGAGGCAACAGGTGGTTGGAGCTTGAAGCCCTGGGCCTGGGGGATGGAGCAAAAAGACACATGGCCAGGACTTGGGGCCGCACCACTGTGCAGCCAGAGCTCAGGGCTGGAGATCAAAGCCCCGGGGGCCAGAGATTGCTGCTCCGTCACCTCATGGCCTAAACTTAAAGCACTGCCCATGGGAAGGTAGGGAACGCCCGACCTGCCTGCTCCTCCACTATGGTTTCTCCAGAGGGGGCATGGCCCAACCAACTCGTGCTGACAGCCCTACCAGCCAATACCCAGGTGGTACACTTAGCAGCACCAAGAAAGGCTGTTGCTTTGCCCCGCCCCTCCACCAATCACAGCCCAGTGGGTGCAAAAAAAAGCCCCTAGTGGCCGCATGCAACTACACCAGCCACGTTTGAGACACCCCAGCCTGGAGGGCCTCACCTCAGGTACAGGATCCGTGACTGGACGATGAATCGGAACAGATACTTCAAGGCTTTCAGGGCAGCGAACAGCAATTCTGTCTTGCTGGAGTCCTCTGCATTCCCCACGTAATAGTTCAGTACTTTGGAGAGTTTCCTTAGAAAAGGAAGAGAAGGGGAGAATAAATGCAGGGTAGCTACAGGACAAGGTAAACCAGGAGACCTTGTTCTAGTAAGGGACTATGGTCTAATGCTTCGGAGCAGGAGTCAGGGCTCCTGAGTTCTTGTCACCGCTCTGTTGTGGAGTCACTCTTAGGCCCTCGGCAAACCACACGGGAACACATTTTCAAAAGTGCTCGGCATGCAGCAGCTCCCAGAATCTGGCCCCGCAATGTAGCTGCTACATCCTTTGGAAACGCTAGCTTTATGGCCCGTTTTTTCAAAGTGTTGAGCATCCGCAGCGCTCGGTGACTTTAATTAAGAATTCGGGGAGCCCGTTAATTCTGAAAAATCACAGATTCTTAGCCCCTGCGGACCTCAGTTTATCTATATGTAGACCTCTTTAATAGAAGGGAGGGGTTTCTGAGACTTAATTTATAAAAACATAAGAACAGCCAGACTGGGTCAGACGAAAGATCCATTTAGCCCAGTATCCTGTCTGCTGACAGTGGCCAATGCTAAGAGTCCCAGAGGGAATGAACAGAACAGGGAATCATCCCCTGTTCCCAGCTTCTGACAAACATTCCTACTCATCTTGGCTAATAAACAGAGCTTGACAAATGGCGGCGAAAGCCACTCGCCAGTCCCGCACTGCACAAGAGCCGCATTGCGCATGTGCACGTCACCGGCAAATGGGGTGCGCGGCTGAAATCTACTCGCTACGGGTGAGTAGATTCTATAGTTTGTCGAGCCCTGCTAATAAGTATTAATGGACCTATCCGCCATGAATTTATCTAGTTCCTTTTTTGAACCCTGTTATAGTTCTGGTCTTCACAACACCCCCTGGCAAGGAGTTCCACAAGTTTGTTTGCTTTAAGCCCGCTTTGAGCACTTTAAGATCCTTGCACGGAAAATTGCATCTTTATTACTTTGTCTCATGTCTCTGTCTAGGCAGAAGTCCAAGATCTCATAGAAACTTTTCCAAAAGAATAGTGGGGAGCGTGGGAGGATTACGTTCAAACAAAACACCGGTTCCTCCTCATTAACCACGCTCTGAGCATCCAAGGGTCTGCATGAGGGATGCCTTTGCCTACCTCACTTGCTGCACTGCCAGGGTCTGTCTGTGTCTAGCTTTGGCACACAGAGCGTAATGACAGCACAGTGTAATTCTCCAGCCAGCTCGGCCTGATGGGGATGTCACGCTGTAAAGCCAAGCTGGAAAGCAAGGCGAGGTAACAACGCAGCTGCAACAAAGCCCATCCATAAATCAGACTTAACAAAATTATTTATAGGAAGGAGCAGCAAGGAGGATGAACCCTCCACCCGCAAGGGGGGGAAGCAACTCTCTGCTGACAGTGGCTGTACAGTAAGTGCAGAGAAGAAAGAAGCTGTTCAAAGAGCAACAGGCTTCAAGAGTCCAGGCAGCACAGCATCCCGCTTAAGGCCGTCTTCTCTACCGGGGTGGAGTCTGGATTTCCGAGTGAGCCCATCTCCAGCAAATATTACATGTGAACTATAAAGTCTGGTTAACTGTGTAAAAATACAGAGTGAGAGCTGGAATTTGGAAGGGACCTGATTCCAAAGGACTGAAAGTGAACAATCCATTAAGATCAACATACTGCACTGACTACAGTGAAAGACTCTGCCTCACACTATCCAAGAAATTAAGAAACCACCTGATATTCTATCCAAATAATAGTAGGTATGATTAGGGTTTCCAGGTATCCGGTATTCAACCGGACAGTCTGGTATTTTTGCTTCCTATCTGGTAAAAAAATGCAGAAAATCCCGGACACCTAAAACGTCTGGTACTTTCTGATTTTTTCCCGGCCAGACGGTGAAAATCTTGGGCTGTCCAGCTCAATACAGAGGCAGCCTGGCAACCCTAGTGCTTACCGGGGAGCTGTCTGCCCCGCACAGGGAGGCAAGTGGGTGGGTGGCTGCTGGCCGCCTGTTAGGGCCAAAAAGCCTCACCACACGTTTTTTAAAGGGGCCACGCTGTTTTGTGTGGGTTTTTTTTTTTTTCCCAGAAACCATCTGGCAACCCTAGGTACGATAGTACAACTGTAACAAAATGTCAGGACAACTGATGCATTTAAGCACTACACTATCTGATTTGCGAGTGCATATCAGGAATGGTTGTCACTTAATTTGGGAGGTAGCCTAGCTCGGTGGCTAAAGCATTGGGCTAGAAGTCAAGAGACATGAGTTTTATTTCTGGCACTGACCCGAGACAGTCTCTTCAGCCCTTATTCACTTCAGCACAGAAAGTAAATCATGATTTACAGGCTTAATGTTAGGCACTCTCCTAAGAGCCACACTTAACTGAGGCCTTACTCTGTCTGGGCCTCAGTTTTTCCATCTGTAAAACAGGGCTAATAACACTGACCTGCCTTTCTAAGTGCTTTGAGATTTACCAATGAAAAGTGCTGGAGAGGAGCTTAGCTATTACCACTATTCATGCCCACATATCGGGAGATGCAATACAAGAAGAAAGTTTTTTCGAACAAATCAGGCCCTGTGCAGGATTTCACAACCATTTCAACAATAGCTACATTTTCAAACATCACCTCCACCTTCAGTAACTTCTTGTTCACTGCAGCTCCATTCACTTGCCTAGGGATGGGCTCAACTTCACACTTTATCTCTGCTGCCATAGCGGACAATAACACCTGTACCATTTTACTCACCCATACATCCCTTGCTCTCATGGTCCTTGGGAGACAGGCCAATTTTCACTTACAGACAGCTCCCCCCCCCCCAGCTAAATACCCCCCACCAGCAACAAAACTAACCAAAGAACCAATCCCTGCTACAAACTCTGTTGTCAGCTCCGTCCACACATGTACACAAGTGACACCATCACAGGACCTAACCACATACGCCATACCATCAGGGACTCATACAACTGCACATCCTCTAATGTGACCTAGGCTATCCTGTGCCATGTACATCGGCCAAACTGGACAGTATCTACACAGCCGAATAAGACATCAAGGTAACATACAAAAATCTGTGGGAGAAAATTTTCATCTCCCTGGACATGGTAACAGACTTGAAAAGTTGCCAGCCTCAAGCTAAAAAAATTTTCCACACTAGACCGCAACATGAAACTGCTGAGCTGGAATGCGTGTGCAAAATTGACACTGTCAGAATGGGATTGAATAAGAATTGAGACTGGTTCTCTCGTTACAATAAGTCATTTCCCCCTTTAGGTATATCCACATCCACACTATTCCATCTCTGGGTCCCTGCTATCGGCTTCTTTTTCTTTCACTTCGTGCATCTGATGGAGTGAGTAAATAACTCTCAAAACTTTGTGCCCTAATGCAATTATTAGTCTGCAAGGTGCCACAGTTGGTTTTTGCAGAAACAGACTAACTAACTCTGAAACCCAAAGCGAGTGTTAAAGATTCTGCTTCTCCCCCCTACCCACCCTCCTCACCTCACATAGGATTAAAAAATAATTAACCAAGCTTATGCCACAGAATATTTCAAATGCAATCTCTTTTGCTCAAAGTGTGTGTGTGCAGATACACACACACACACACACACACACACGCACGGCGGCAGACCTGGCATAGCTCAGGTCCTTCAGGGTAGGGGGCTATGTGCATGCAGGGTTACTGGAGTCTGGGCAGAGGACAGGGAGGTGTGGGGGCTCAGGGCAGAGGTTGGGGGTGCAGGAGTCGGGGCAGGGAGCTGGGAAGTGCGGGGGACTCAGGGTAAAGGGTGCGTGCATCCCTAAGTCCCGCCCACTCTGGCATGGAATTTTTTTAGCTTGAGGCTGGCAATTTTTCAAGTCTGTTAACGTGTCCAGGGAGATGGAAATGTTCTCCCATGGATTTTGGTATGTTACCTTGATCTCTTATTCGGCTGTGTAGATACTGTCCAGTTTGGCCGATGTACATGGCACAGGATAGCCTAGGTCACATTAGAGGATGTGCAGTTGTATGAGTCCCTGATGGTATGGCGTATGTGGTTAGGTCCTGTGATGGTGTCACTTGTGTACATGTGTGGACGGAGCTGACGGACCACCCGTAACAGCGAGAGTAGCGCTGCTCTGACAGTGGCTAAATCTGGAGGAAGGAGGGCCGGGCTGGGGGGGCTGGGCTGCCCGGTGGCTCCTGCTGGGGGTGAGGGAGAGGCAGCCGGGGCTGCTCTTTTTCAATAATAAACCATTTCTACAGTCAATAATTAATTTTTTTCTAATCTCACGAGGTTCTCAGGGTAGGCCTGTATGGGTGCACACACACCCTCTCTCTCTCTCTCAGTCACACACATTCGTGGTCTATGTGCTAACACCCGACCTGGCCTATGCAGCAGCAAGAGATCCCTGAGATAGCTACCCTGTGGGTTTGTGGTTACCAATACTTACACATACGCCAGGGTGGTGCTGAAGTGCTTGTAAATGTAAGTTTCAAGTACAGGGTTAAAATGCTGGAACTTGATGTCTCCGATCAGAGAAATAATAAACACCTGCAAAATTGCAAAAGGAAACAGAAGTTCTGAACTGTGCAGCTCTCAACTAACTATCCCACGACTTATGCTAATCACGCACCGTTTCGTTGTGCTGGTTGCTTGGGTTTGATCTACTCAGCTTTAATGGGACAGATGCTGTTGCGTACCTGCTGAAACTAGCCAGATCATCTGGGAGACAGTGCTCCAATTTTTCAGGTCCATGCATGGAATAAATTTTAGTACGTGCACCAATAGGAGGACGACGTGTGACATGTTGTCTCCATATTGCACGTGGTCACCCTGGGGCAGGGATGGGGGTGAAGAGGTTCAGTGTGTGGAAGGAGGCTCAGGGCTGGGGGATGCAGGCTCTGGGGTGAGGCTGAAAAGTGTGGGTGCAGGAGAGGGCTCTGAGCTTGGGAAGAGGGGTAGGGTGCAGGCTGTGGCTGGGGGGGGGGGTGCAGGATTTGTGCTGGGGCCGAGTTTTGCATGCAGGCTCCCCTGGGAGAGAGGGATCCCCCCAGTCCTCTCTCACTGCAGCAGCTCTGGGCCAGGTGAGAGGTGCCTCTCTGCCAGCCATGACAGCTCCGGGGAAGCTGGATTGGGCTGGGGGACGGGGCACAGATCCGTGCGGCTGGGGATGGCAGAGGGAGAAATTTAAGAAGGCCCCTCCCCTGGCCGCAGCAGCTTCATGCTCAACAGCCCTGAGTCTTTCCACAGGGCTGAGGGGGAGAATACGCCCATATTACCGAAGTCAGGCAAGGTCGGGCCTACTCAGTGGATAGACAGGGAACTATGCCGGTAAAGCCAGCTGCTGTTTGAAGCAGCACTGGTGAATTGGTAAGTGACACTAAGTCAGCCTCCAGATGGTAATACAGAGCCGGTCGTAGGGGCAGAAAAGCCGGGCGGTTACCTGGGCCGCCATTTTCAAGGGGACAAAGCTGGTCTTAGGGGTGGGCCACGACCACATTTCGGCCCAGCCTCCTGAATCCTCCCACCAATTTCCCTGGTTATTCCCCAACCCCCTTTTTTTTGCTCAACAAATTTTCCCTGGTGGGTGTTTTTTGTTTGTTTGGTTTGGTTTTTTTGACAAATTTTTGTCCGGTATTTTTTTTTTGAAACCATCTGGCAACCCTACGGGCAAGCCGGGCAGTTGCCCGGGGCTGCCAATTGGTTATGACCGGCCCTGACCGGCAGGGAATTTGCCAGACCACTGAGGTCAACATGGTCCAACACAGTGTTTCTTAAAATGTGTTCTGTGCACACCGGTGTGCCGCGGAGAACAACCGAGTTCAAAATAGCCACCCTTAAAGGGGCAGGTGACCTTTTTTCCCCCCTCTCAATAACTTTCCCCCCGACCCTTTTTTTTTTTTGCTCAACAAAAAATCCTTGGTGTTTCTCATAAAAATAAAAAAATCTATTGTTTGGTGTTCCTCAGTCTTAAAAAGTTTAAGAAACACTGGTCTAACAGTATTACCAACACTTCCACTGCTTACTAGATACTTAGAAGTCACTTAGGGTAAATTAGAGCTAAATAATAGCACAGAACAGAGAGTAGATACTTAGAAGTCACTTAGGGGTAAATTAGAGCTAAATAATAGCACAGAACAGAGAGAGCCAGGCCTGGTGGCTGCACACAAACTTTATGGAACTACTGAAAACTTAGCCACACCCACGATAAGTGGACATCCGGCTAACTCAAATCATACTGGATCACGGATGTTGCCAGACCAGAAAGTGCCGGACTAGAGAAGTTCAACCTGTATTTCTCTGGTACGGGGTCACAGAGGTGATGTGCTGGCCAGAGGCACGGTTTTTCTGAGCCAGCTCCTAAGCAAGGTTATGAAAACCTGGGATCATTAAAGATGCCCTGTCACTTTATGGCAATAGTGTTCCTAATTATGTTATTTTGGCAAAACTGTAACTTGAGTAACTGCATCCTCCCTCCAGCCCAGCCGTTTCAGCTGGATACATTAGTTTTCAGTTTCTTTTCTCGACTGTCACACTTGAGTAACTGCACCCTCCCTCCAGCCCGGCCGTTTCAGCTGGATACATTGGTTTTCAGTTTCTTTTCTCGACTGTCACACTCTGTTGTTGAGTTTCAATAAGCAGCTGCTTCCTTGTTCACGAGTAAAGCAGACTCTACACAAACCACAATCTCTTTGTGAAGCCTGTTGGCTGTTTTACTGGGATCTTTGTACAAATTGCTCTATTGAAAGGCAGGCTTGCCCAGTGACTAGGGCTGAACTAGGTCTGATGAGATGTTGGGTCCATTTCCTTTGACCTGTTGGGTGCCCTTGAGCAATTCCCTTCCCTTCCTGCACCAAGTATAACAAAGAATAATACTTTCCTCCGGTGTAAAGTGCTTTGAGATCCACACGTGAAAAGTGTTCTCTGTAAGACGTTCAGTATTATGTACATGTCAATCCCTTTTCTCATCGAATTCACGGAAACGGCCATGCTACCTCTCAGGTCCTGGCCTTCCATTAGCTCCCCAGTTTGGAAAAGAGAAGACTGAGAGAGGACATGGAAGCAGTTTGGGTGTAATGAGGAGGAGGGAGAAAAATTGTTCTCCTTGACCTCTGATAATAGGATAAGAGGCAAATTGCAGCAAGGGAGGTTTAGCTTTGACATTGGGAAAAAATTCCCAAGTTTCAGGGTGGTTAAATGTTAGAATAAATTGCCTACGAAGATTGTGGAATCTCCATCACTGGAGATATTTTAGAGATGTTTATCTAACCTGCTATCAGATGGTGCTTGGTCCTGCCGTGAGGGCAGGGAACTGGCTTTGACGACCTCTCAAGGTCCCTTCCAGTTCTAGTGTCCTACGATTCTATGACTCCTTACTAGCCTAAGCAGCGTTTAAACATGATTTCGTATGTCTCATAGAGCAAGACATCAATCAACTGCCCAGTGGACGCAACGGGAACCAGAATGAGAAGGCAGAGGAAGAAATGGCTTTGGGATACGCAGAGCACAGCCACTCACCAGTGCGTCGAACACAAGGAAGTCATAGGTTTCATTGTCCGACATCTCTATCATTATGTTGAAAAGTGCATCAAGGGTGTCTTGTAAGAACTAGAGAGAGGAAGACAGGAGGCGGCAGAAACAGGGATTATTTCTTTTATTGATGCAGCTCGGGAATCCTCTGTCCTGGTTCTTCTCCCCCCAGATGCTTAGGGAAAACATAAAGGGTTTGATCCAGCCCTGGAGAGAACATCAGAACGGCCAGACTGGATCAGACGAAAAGTCCTGTAGCCCAGTGTCCTGTCTTCCGACAGTGGCCAGTACCAGGTGCCCCAGGTGGATTGAACAGAACCAGGGATTGTCCAGTGATACATCCCCTGTCGCCCATTCCCAGTTTCTGGCAACCAGAGGCTAGCGCTTATACAAACAGGTACAAAGGGATTAGCAGGACGGGGAATGCTGAGGAGCCAAGCAGGCCCTGTGCACGCTGACCCCAGGTCTGCCAAGCTGCTGCTCCTAGAAGCAGGTGCAAAGCCAATAAGGAAGTACTAGGGGAGCACCTCTCTAGCGTGAAGCTCACACAGATGCCCTTCTCCCCTCCCCGCCCCCTTTCTATCATGCACAGTGTTTGAGTGGCGGGTTGTGCAACGGGACATGCATCTAAGTTTCAGCACATGTATCCTCAGCTTGCAGGTCAACCTTGTGCCAAAGGCTCCAGGACGAGCCTTTCAACCACAACTTGCCTTTGGCAATTGCCGGGAGCCCTGATGTTACAAACCCACTGCCTTCACTTCAGCTGCTCGGCAAGTAAGAATTTTCAATTGAACTTCACGGCAAACCCCGAGCTGCACAACCCCCGTGATCCGACATGCCGATGATCCAAAGGGGAAAAAAGTTCTTGCAAATGCAGAATTTCACTTGCTTGGAAATTCCAGTTTTCAGCTAAGTTCCCCAAGCCACTCAGACTCGGGCCAGAAGTTGTGTGTGTACACACGGTCTTTTTCCTGTGTGTCTGCATAGCACTGAGCTTACGGGAGGCCAGATCCAAGACTAGGGGCCCTAGATGCTACCTAACATAAATAAATGATGATTAGGGTTTTCCTGTATGCCATATTTTGCAAGAACTTGTAACGAATTCTCCCTACAGCCCCAATCCTACAAACACTGTTGCATGGGCTTAAGTTTTGAAGCAAGCGAGTATTCCAGTGGGTGTGCTGAAACCATTGCCTAGCATGCTGCTCAATCCTGTATCCCTGTGCTCCCCTGACTAACTGTGTCCACCTGAGGTCTCCTCTTCTACTTAGATTAGAATCATAGATTCCTAGAGTTGGCAGAGACCTCAGGAGTCATCGAGTCCAATCCCCTGCCCAAAGCAGGACCAACCCCAACTCAATCATCCCAGCCAGGGCTTTGTCAAGCCAGGACTTAAAACCTCTAGGGATGGAGATTCCAACACCTCCCTAGGGAACCCATTCCAGTGCTTCCCCACCCTCCTCGCAAAACATAGACCTCCCCCACAGCAACTTAAGACCATTGCTCCTCGTTCTGCCATCTGCCACCACTGAGAACAGCCTCTCTCCATCCTCTTTGGAACACCCCTTCAGGCAGCTGAAGGCTGCTATCAACCCCCCTTCACTTTTTTCTTCTGTAGACTAAAAAAGCCCAAATCCCTCAGCCTCTCCTTGTAAGTCATGTGCTCCAGTCCCCTCATCATTTTTGTGGCCTCCGCTGGACTTTCTCCAAAATGTCTACATCCTTTCTGTAATGGGGGGCCCAGAACTGAACACAATACTCCAGATGTGGACTCACCAGCGCTGAAGAAAGGGGAATAATCACTTCCCTAGATCTGCTGGAAATCCTCCTCCTAATGCACCCTAATATGCTGTTAGCCTTCTTGGCTACAAGGGCACACTGTTGACTCATATCCAGCTCCCACCCTCTGTAATCCCTACGTCCTTTTCTGCTGCCAGTCAGTCCCCAACCTGTAGCAGGGACCGTCCATTTGTTCTGTGATTTTATGGTATTTAACACAGTGGGGTTCAGGTTCATGATTGGGGCATGCAGATAACAACGAATAAGTCAGCAGGTTAAAAAGTTAAGCACAAATCTATGTGTTTGCAAGATCATGAAGACCAAATCTCCATGTACAAAACCAAAAGATGTGACCTTGTACCTTTACAATTTCTCCTCCTTCCACATCCATCAGCCTCTTTAGATTGTGCGCTATGTGTTGAGAGTTGGAACGCCAGTTCAGCAAACCCAGCAGGTCAACTATGAAAGACAGAACAACGACAATTAGTGACAGAGTGCAAAGAACGCCAACGCTCATTTACCCAAATGGCTGCAGAACAATAAAGAAACGGAAACAATGCTTATTTTAAGTAGCAGCTGGGAAATCCGTCATATTGACAGACTTGACTGACAAATGTCCTTACATTTACTTCAGAGCAGAGTGTTCAGAGTGCTTCTTAAAGCTACATTTCAAGTCTCTTTTAGGAAGCAAGTTAAGCTGAGGGCTTCATCGATCACAGCTCTGGGCCATCCAAGAGACATCATATTCAGTGACCAAGTATAGTTGAGATTTTCAAAGCAATCAGGGGATTTAGACACATCCTCCATTAAAGCTTTGAGATTTTCAAAGCAGTCCAGGGGATTTAGACACATCCTCCATTAAAGCTAACAACAGACATGTGTCTAAATCCTCTAGATGGCACTGAAGATCTCCATCACAGTCTGCAAAAAAACGTGATTGCTACTTTTTAAAGAAAGTACAGGTGCACAGTGCTTTTTTTCTGATGGTACTGCCTGGTATGCAGTGCTGGCACCTGCAGACACAGTACCGGTCAGAGCTTAACAACTTTTCCCCTGGAGTAATGGCACTTTTTTTTTTTTTTTTTTTTTTTTTTAAAGCACTGCAGGCGCACAATATGCCACAAAGTCACAGAAGGCCAAATTTAGAACATAAAGGAAGTCTGAGTTGGCACAATTTACAGTCTTTCCACAGGAAAACCACAGAACATGTTATACAATGACCCCCTTCTAGATTTAGACTGACAGTCTCACAGACACTAAAATGTGATCTATCCCCACATATACACTTTTCCCATTGCTTCTGACTTTGATCTTGTTTCCAGCTGAACACTTATAAAATGTACAGATAACACCAAGCCGGGAGCAGTTGCAAGCACTTTATGGACAGGATGAGAATTTAAAATGATCCAGACAAATTAGAGAACTGAGCTGAATTCAACAAGATGAAGTTCAATACAAACAAGTACAAAGTCCTTCTTCACTGAGGAAGGACAAATCAAACGCGCAGCAACAAAATGGAGAGTAACTGGCTAGATGATCGTACGGCTAAAAAGATCTGGTGGTTCTAGTGGATCACAAAGTGAAGATGAATCCACAATTTGATGCAGCTCTAAAAAGGGGCAAATATTCAGGAGCAAACTAGCTGGCGGGTGTCATACATGAGACATAACCGTCACTGGGGCGAGGTCTGGGAAACTGCATCCAGGTCTAGGTATCACACTTTAGGAAAGATGTTGAAAAAGTGGAGAGGTTCCAGAGGAGTACCACAAAAATGATCAAAGGTCAGAAAACCCGACTCACGAGGAAAGGTTAAAAACACTAGACCCGTTTCGTGTTGAGAAAAGATAACGGAGAGGGGACGTGATAACAGCCTACAAATATATTATGTGCTGTTACAAAGAGGGCCGATGACTCGTTCTCCACGTCCACAGAAGGCAAGAGAAGAAGTAATGGGTTTAATCTGCAGTAGGGGACATTTAGGTCAGCTATTAAGACAAACTTTCTAAGTTCACAGGTAATGAATAGGCTTCTAAGATATATTGTAGAATCCCCATTAGGGATGTTGGATTTAGTTTAATTAACTAGTCAATGGAAATTCCATCAACTAGTCAATAAGTGGGAAGCCACAGTGGGATTTACTCCCAGCCCCGGGTGCTAACCCCACTGTGACTCTTCCATTTAAAAGGATGGTGCGCAGCAGGGGGACCTGGTGTGAGCTGCGCCCAGCCCCCGCTACTCCTCTGCCTCCCCTGATCCCAGCTGAGAAAGTGCTGGAGGGGACTGGCTTTTAAGCCGGCTCCCCCCAGCACCAGTTCCTGCTCTCCCGCCACCTTTGCTGCGTCTATAAGAGGCAGCAAGTGTGGGGGAAGCAACTAGTTGAGAGACTAGTCAACAATCTGATAGGCTTATACTTACCAGATAGTCCACTAGTCGACTAGTCGCTTACATCCCTAATCCCCACCCCTGGAAGCGTTTCACAACAGGCTGGACAAACATCTGTCAGGGACCGTCTATGTTTCCTTGCTCCTGCCTCACTGTCAGATCCCGGACTTCACGACTTTGGAAGGTCCCTTCTAGTCTTACAATTCTGATTCACATTGGAGGACTAAGAGAGATCCGTGATAGGAAGGGGTGAGACGTCGCAGGTTAACGTGTCTACGAGAGACTTAATGTGAGGGGAAGGGCCTAGGTCACCCGGCAGGCATTTCTCCCAGCACCGCATAGTGCCCACCCCATTGCTAGTGCCAGACCTACCCTTCTGGGTCAGTTTGGTGGAGCAGATAAGCGTGGCGATCTGGAAGCTGTCCTTCGTGCTGTCCTTGGAGGGTGTGAAGTTGGCCAAGTGGTGAAGGTTTTTGCCAGGGGGCCCATCCTTTTCCTCCTCCACTTTTGTGCCAGGAAGAGTTAAGTAGAATTTGGCGTCTTCCATTTTCTTGTTGTCGCCCTGTTGATTGAACAAGAACGGGTGTGTCGGGGGGGTGGTCATTTCAGTTATTGATAATACTCCACCTTGTCCCCGTCCCCATAGGAGGCAGGTGCCCATTAGTTTCAAATGCTCTCCAATACAACTGTAGACTGGAAGTTTGGTGTTTAGGTTTCTTTGGGTAGTTTTCACATTTCTTATGGACAGGGATTCTTCTTAAGTTGCATGTGCAAAAAAAAAAAAAAAAAAAAAGCAGCATTCTATCCTAGGCACTTACCTGGCCTCTCTCCTCAGAATATCTGAGCACCTTGTAATCGTTAACGGCTTTATCTTCTCAACACCTCTGGGAGGTAGGAAAGTGCTGTCACCCCCATTTTACAGAAAGGGAAATGAAGCACAGAGACACCACGCGATTCCCCCAAGAACAGGAACTTGCACCTGCATCTCCCAAGTCCTAAGCCAGAGCCCAAATTACTGGACCAGCTTCCCTTTCTCTGGGTTGCAGTTTCGCTATAGATATTCTTAGGCATACAGGAACTGTCATACCTGAACAGACCATCCAGCTCAGTAACCCATCTCCAGCAGTGGCCAGCACCAGACGCTTCCAATAACACAATAAGGAACCCACAATACAATAGCAAACCCATATGGGAAACTTTGGGTGGCTGTGTTTGCACCCTGAGGTATGAGTTTCTCTTTCTTATACATTTTATCCTATTTAATGATACAGGCCACACATCTATAAACTGGAACTCTCTGGTCCGGCAACATCCATAGTCCAGAAGAACGTGGAATATTCCAGGATCAGAGTCTTGGTGTGCCGCCAGTGTTGCAGCAGGGCAGGGGATGGACATGGCAGCAGAGGGGCTAGAAATAACCTCCCCTGGTCTCTGGTGTGCCGCCAGTGTTGCAGCATGGCAGGGGGTGGAGATGGCAGCAGAGGGGCTAGAAATAACCTCCCCTGGTCTGGAAAATCCCAGGCAGGTCTCCAGGATGCTGGACTAGGGAGGTCCAACCTGTACCCTGGAAGTTAACATGGTAGCAATGCACTTTATAAATGTACTGTACTGTTATCTATGTTACAACAAACAAACAAACAACATCTCTGTACTGGGATATTTCACTTCATGCGTCGCTATTAAGGCTTTGCCGGAGAACAGGAAGAGACTGACATTTTGTTCGTGCAGATTATAACATGTGGAGCAGAGAGGCTGTACTGTCACTTTAAGACCCTTGCGGTTCTCTGCTGTGGAGGGTTAACCCTTTCTGTTTCAATGACTAAAAACGCCGTATTTCTCCTCTGGTCGAAGACAGCTCTTCCCGAGGGCGGCAGAAAGGGGAAAAACACGTCTCCCTGCCCCCATCCTCAGGCTGCCTGGGTTATAGTGGCAAATATAACAAACAAGTAGAACGGATACACAAAGCTTCTACAAGAATGGCCCCCATCTGTGTCCAAGGGATCCGAGATCCACTCAATGCAACTTTATTGAATGGTGGCCTATCACCAAAGCAAATGACTGGTTCTCAGACTCTGCTTGTTAACAGGTTGATAGGGATCTTTGCACTGGTGAGTCAAGTAGGGCTCGTGTTGCCAAAAGATTACACACATGGCTGGGGAAGAAACTCCAGATGGTAAAACTAGCACAGCCACAGGGCTCCCCCCCGCCCCAGTACCTTGTAAATGACTAAATTGTGCCTGCCATCCTGCAGAGTTGTTCCATTCGCATTCATCAGTTTCACAAAGGCCACCCCGAAAGCTCTCTCGGATTTATCCCTGGCTGCAAACAGAAAGAAAGAAACCTTCACGGGAGGGGCCTCTAGTCTGTTGCTTGGATTATCTCCCTGCTCCCAACCCAAGGGAAGTTTTCTTTTGTTACCTGCTGCCACTAAGGAACAAAGCAAGAGTAATAACTTCTGTTTAAAAATGCACTGTTGCATTGCAACCTATATCAAGGCACATCGGATAAAATTGACAAGATAGAAACGCTTCCTCATTAATAACGAATTATAGACAACTTTTCAGTGGGTAGATGCAGTGCATTTTCTTCTTGCAGTTTGCATCCCCTACGTAGCAGCATTCAATTCCATACAGAGGTGTAGGCTGACGTTTTCCACAGATGCCTCATTTCAACAATACTTGGGCATTCAAATTTTTTATGCAGGTTTGAAAATCATATCAACGTATTTATTCTTTGTATTCCAATAGAATCAAAAAGATCCTCATCATAGTCCATGGCCCTGTTTTGCCAGGCACTGTACAAACACAGAACAAAGAGATGGCTCTTCCCCAAGGAGTTTACAATTGCTTGTACATGAAATCACAGGGACTGTGAATGCAAATACACACATTTCTGAACTCATAACCCATGGCCTTTCTGTTTGCAAGTCCAGCATCAAATCTTGCATTTAATTCTATGGCTTTGAGTCTTACTGCCCTTTTTCGATCAGTTTCTCAGGATATTCATCTGACCTATCCGTTCTGAAACGGCTTCATGAGATTTCTGACTATTTCACTTTCTTAAAAGCTTCTCGTGACCTCAATCTAAAGTCCTCCTTCAACGAGACCAGTAAGGCCTGAGTCACGTCGCATTCCAGCACTTTTGAAAAAGGTCTTAAAACTAAAATCAGTAGTTCAGCTCTTCACACCAAGTCCGGTTTAGGGGGAATAACACCCCATCACAAACCTACTCCCATTTTTACGGGCAAAGCCATGTTAAGGTTCAAAATAACTATTTCCCCTCTTTTGCATGCATCATTCCAACTTCCTGCCTCTGGTCAGTAAATGGAAATGCAAAAAAAAAAAAAAAACCCACCAAGAAAGGCCGCTGCTGTGGCATTTCCAACCAAAATCAGAAGCCAAAGTGCTTCCAGTGGGAAAAGCCTGTTTTCTTAGACCACCAGCCCAGTTTTGCTCACCCATTAACTAGAATGGGCTCAACATCAGAAGCATTCTCTTAATTGTCCATGCCAATCCCAAACTCTGCAGACAGCCGAGCTGTGAAGAAGGCTGAATGCTGGCTCCATCACAGAAACACAACTAGACTATAAAGTGCACCAACCACAAGAGGGTCAGGGGAGATTGGAAACCTCCCTGATCTCCACTTCAAGTACTTACATTCCTGTGATGATCGGTGACGGAAAGTAAACCTCAGATGACAACGGCTGACCTCTTCAATTGCAATCGACACCTGAACAAGAGTGTCAAACAGAACAACAATCAGGGCCTCTCTTGTGTCTCTCATTAGGAGGATCTCAAAGTATCTTACAAACCCTAACCAAGCCGGTCTCATAACCAGTGCTCCCTATAAGCTGTGAGCTTGTGTGGCCACTCAAAAGAGATTCAAAATGCGGAACCCAGCAGAGCACCCACAGCAAGGTTTTGTGGGTCTACTGGTGGTGCACATTTGCATATGCCTTGGTGCACATAAAAAAATTCATTCCACACGTGGATGGAAAAGATTTTAGGGAGCGTTGCTCGTAACATGCCCCAAATTTTGCAGATAGGAGAAATACGGTGGAGAGATAAAATGCCTTACCCGGAAAAGTCAGCAACAGAATCTGGGAGTTCTTGTCCCTGGCCCTACACTTGAAAACATCTCTGGTTTGGATGAAGATTGCCAAAGGAACACAGGGAACGCAACATGCCAGCTCCATTGAAATTGAATGAGATTTGAGCATATAACTCCCTTAGGCCCTTTTGAAAACGTTACCCATCATCCTCTTCATGAAGACATTTGCTAAAGCCATTCAGCCCTGAACTCTAGGTATTTAGATTACACTGCACATGTTGCAAGTATATATATATATATATACATACACACACGTTTAGGCATATACAACTGTACTTGTAATTTATGTTACCAGGAAAGCTCTTCTCAGCTGCAGCATCTGTTTTCCTGCTTTTACAGAAGTACAGGTGGCCAGACAACTTGGCCAGGGTTATACAATCAATCAAATAATACCTGGAACCCAGGACTTCTCTCTCTTCCATCACAAAAAATGCTTAGTTAATAAATGGAAGGGCCCATCAGGGTTTTATTCAGCCAGGATTTATTTTACCTCCCTCCCCCTCTGCCCAATTCAGCTGACCAGTTAAACTCTCCAGTTACCATCTATCAGGGATGGGCTAGAACAGTATTTCTCAACTTTTTTTTTATAAAGTATCCCTTAAAAAAAAAACATTCTAAGTATCTCCAGTCCCCACAGTTTTCAGACACACTTTTCTTGCTATCGTTGCAACACATTTGTTTAAACAACTTCATCAGAGCTGGGCAAGCAATGACATTTTCGGGTGTAAAAAGTATAAATATAATAAAGCGCTGTAAAACTTAACAAAAAAATCAGTTTTCTCCACATTTTAGTTAGGTTGACGTACCCCCAGACTTCTCTTGAGTACCCCCTACGGGTACTTGTACCACTGAGAAACACTGTTCTAGCCATCCCTGATATATGGTAACTGGAGTGTTTAACTGCTCAGCTGAATTGGGCAGAGGGGGAGGGAGGTAAAATAAATCCTGCCTGAATAACCAGTGTTTCTCAACCAGTGGTACGAATACTCTTAGGGGTCCTTGAGAGAAGTCTGGGGGGTACGTCAACACAATAGAAATTTGGAGAAAACTGAATCTTCAGTTTACGTTTTACAGCGCTTTATTATTTTTGTACTTTTTACACCCAAAAATTTTTTCAGTTAACGTTTTACAGCGCTTTATTATTGTTGTACTTTTTACACCCAAAAATTTCATCCCCCGCCCAGCTACGATGAAGTTGTTTAAACAAATGTGTCGCAACAGGAGAAAAAAGAGTGTGTGTGTGTGTGTGTCTGAAAACTGTAGGTACTGAGGGTACTTTTTTTTTTAAAGGGGTACTTTATAAACAAAGGTTAAGAAACACTGGTCTAGAACAGATGGTGCTTGGTTCTGCCATGAGGGCAGGGGACTAGGGATGTTAAATATTGATTATTTAACAGCAGGGGCTCTTGTGCACTTCAAAGATTGAAACGCCATGTGCAACCTAGGGACAGCAGGGAGTTCATGCACTGCTTCCATGCTTGAAATGTACAAGAGCCCCTGGTGGAACTCTTGTACATTTTAAAGCAGGCAGGGAGTTCATGCGCTGCTTCCATGTTTGAAATGTACAAGAGCCCCCGGTGGAACTCTTGTACATTTTAAAGCAGAAGCACCATTGCTGATCCCCTGCCCCGTCCCACGGCACTGGAGCTGGGGGGAGAACTGGCTTTTAAGCTGGCTTCCCCCCAGCACTCCCTCTTCTCCCCCCCTTGTTGCCTCTTTGTGATAGAGGCAGCAAGCGGGGGTGGGAGGGAGTGAATAGTCGACTAAGGTGTCATCTGAAAGTGGACTAGAATCCTGTCTGCTCAAAGACCAGAAAACTTAGTCTAGACCAGGGCCGGGGAAACTTTTTTCATTCGGGGACCACTGACCCACAGAAAAATCAGTCGGGGGCCACACACAAGTGAGAAGGGGGAAAGCCACACCCTTTCTGACATGGTCCCCGACTGAGGAGGAGAAAGACACTCCCCATATTCCCCTTGCACTCAAGAGCCTAGGGGGGCCCAGTCTAGTAGATTTTGGGTGCTCTAGCCCCGCAGCGGAGTGCCAGCGCAGGCTCTGGAATGCTGGGGAGGGGACCGTGAGCTTCGGGGGCCAAATTCAGGCAAGCCTGGGGCCACATCTGGCCCCCAGGCCTTAGGTTCCCCACTTCTCCTCTAGACCACGCAGGACAGCATGCTACTCCACAGTTCCTCTGCTAATTCAACGTTTGTTGATTGGTCCTGTTCTTTAGGTCTCATGCAACAGGAGCCGCACTGGAAAATGCGCACACTCACCTTTACGGTTTCATACCAACAAGGCTGCTTGACTTGATAGTAAACAACTGACTTGTACTCGGAGATCCCTTCATAACCAGCCCCTGGATGGATAGCTTTCTTTGGGGGAAAGGACAAGCAGAGGGGGAAAATCAAATACAGTCAGGAAAAAAGACCAAGGGTAAACATTTCAATAGCATCTAAGTGACTGAGGGGCCTATGTCCCATTTCCAATGGCACTTAGGAGCCTAAATCATGATGACTGAGAAGCCTAAGTCCCGTTTCCAATGGCACTTAGGAGCCTAAATCATGTTTGAAAAGGGGGTTCAGCCAGCTAAGGCATCCTGATGTTTTTGAAATTTTTACTCCTAATTATCAACTCAGGCCCCCCAATGGGGAAGGGAGCCAAAAGGGCAATTCAAAAGGGCCTGGGGTGCCCAGCCACTGCTGATACCGCAGTCTGGGTGGCGCTAAAGGCTGGATGCCCTGACTCCGCCCCTTCTGCCCAAGGCCCCGCCCCTTCTGGGAATGCCAAGCCGCCCCTCTCCCGCCATTGCCCAGCGGCCCAATGAGACTGTCAGCTCCCTTGCATCAACTGTTGATGTGTAAGTAGGGTTGCCAGGCGTCCGGTTTTGAACCAGACCGTCCAGTATTTGAGCTTTCTGTTCGGGAAACACATTGAGAAAATATAAAATGAGAAAATACAAATGTATTTTCGAAATGAGATGTAATGTTGATTGTGATGTAACGTCAAGTGTGTCCGGTATTTTTGTTGAAACCATCTGGTAGCCCTATGTGTAAGTGCAGCAGGACTGAGCCCTAAAATTCATTGAATAGGAGACTGGAATAAACTAGGGTTATACAAAGAGCTAAAGCAGAGACCTCCATGTGCTCCTATTTATTTCGGTAAGTTACTATCAAAGAGTATAAATCTAGTCTCCAGCTGCCAAGAGAGGCAGTCGTCAACTCTCCTCCCGCAGCTGAGTCTCCTACTCCCATTTGCAGTCAGAAAAACAAAAGCAGCTGAGAGAAAAACAGAACCAGGACTCCTGGTTCCCCAAACCACATTCTAACCACTACACCACAGCCTAGAGCCAATGTCTCCTACTGCTGTTTGAGGTGGAAAAAACCCAGTATGTCCTCGAATCCATCTGTCAACCAACGTGGGCTCGTCCGTCACATCTTCTATTGATTTCCCCAGCAATGCAAGCACAGAGGTCTCCTAGAATTTCCTTAAGTGAAGCATCCTTGCGTATAGGCTCTCCAGAAAGGCCAGCTCAGCTCGAGTTCTGCAACAGCCCTCTAGGTACATAAAGCATAAAGTTTCTGTCCCCCACTACCCACACAGGTGCATCCTACCTCTATGCGGTTGCCATCTTCATCATGCACCGACATGGTGACCTCAACATTCTTGGGTGTCTTCTTCTTCCCTTTGTCAAACTCCCCTTGTATCAGAGTGATGTAGATGTCATTCCGAACATCACCTGAGAGATTGACACACATCTGGTGAGCCACTCTCTGTGGACAGACAGCTGGGGGAGTTTTCCTGTTTAACACTCAACACCCTAGCATAGCACTTGGATTACATTATTCAACACCCTTGAATGATACCAAGGGAGCACTAAATTAAACCGCTAGTTTCATCTTCCCTTCAGTTTTGGGGGCAGACTCTACGATGAGCCAATTTTCTTCTTAATAATCCTTACGTGTGTCTTCTAGACAGCACCTCACACATAAAAGACTAGGGAGCGTCATCTTCCCTTACGCCACGACCCCCTTTGTATCTTTTGTGTTTCTCTTTTCTGTTTGCTAGGATCAATTCCTCCCTATGTGAATTCAATAGAGAAGATGGGGAAAACATGTGGCGATGAAAGGCTTTTGGATTAAATGGAAACATTCTTACGAAAAATTTAATTCCTTAATA